GGTGTGATTCTTACCTGAAAAAAAAGGCAGACAGAGGAGAGAACCCCAAGGACTCCATAGTCAAATGAGAAAGAGGAGGGCTTCGCAAGGATTTTGTTCTGTTTTCCATTTAGTTTGTTGCACGCTGATTGTTTAGCCTTAGCTCTGTTTCCGATCTGATTACTGGACTGCAGAGCAAACGCTGCTCAGAGATGCATCTGATGGAGTGGCACGTAAGAAGTAAGTAAATATACCAGGCCCTTGAGTGGCTTTGCAGCAGTCCCGACGGTCGAACCCTGAGGGCTGGGAACAGTCTTTGCCGACCTGGGTCTGATCCAGAAGGTCCAGGTATCACCACGTTCTACTGAATAGCAGAAACTCTCTTATCCCAGGGGACAGACCTGAGAACAAGGGTCTGCTGTGGACTGAACTCGAAAACAGGAACAGCTAGAATTTTCAAACTGACTTCCTGGGGAATTAGGAAAGGCTCGTTACAGAACAACCAAAAGATCATTACGGTTACAGTGTCTACTACTTCTTGCTGGATAATCAGGTAGAAGTCTACCAAGCTCCATGGTCTTCTTTTTGGTGCCAAGTAAATAAAATGTTACAGACTTCCATGTGTAGCAGAAAGCTAAGTCTGGGCTGGCAGTCAAAGAACATCGGGTCCTGCCAACGCACTGCTGCCCTGGATCACCACCACCTACCTCTCAAAATGGTCTCAAACGCCAGTTCCACGTTTGTGGAGTCCAACGCAGACGTCTCCACAAACAGCAGCCCGTTGTTTTCTGTGACAAGACAGACAGAAAAATGTTCTCAAAGGCCAAAGAAGCAATGGAATTTAATTGAAAGAATGTGCGAAGGGAGCCAAACCCACCAAAATGAAAGATATTATTTGCAGGAAGACATCTTGACAATGACCTGCTCCTTCTGCAGGTAACAACAGCCATCTTAGAAAAGAAATATCTGCTTCAAAGACGATGATAGCTGTCCTGCAGTGCCCACATCTCATTCTACAAAAAGAACCCGCATGCTTTTGTGTTTCTTCTCAGATGCCCATTTTAGTGAATGTTACTAAGATGCACTAAACCAGGACAAGTAAAGAGCAGGACGTGCCCATTTCCTTTCTGCTGCAGCTTCTAGCTGAAGGCCAAGCGAACTAATTACCTCCAAACTATTTTGGACTTCAAATCCCATCAGCTTGAACTACTAGGGCCGATGGGAATTGCCATCCAAAGCATCAACGAGGCATGGGGCTGCCTCTTCTGTTTCTCATGCAGAGGGAAGAACATGGGCCGAATCCTCCTGTGAGCCCAGCGCTAGGCCCACACCAAGTCAAGTCCCAACGCCCTGGGGAAGCTCCAGCCACTCCTCCCTACCAGCATACATCTTGGCCTCTTCTGTGGGCACCTCTCGGGCCTGGGCCAGATCCATCTTGTTGCCCACCAGCATCACAACAATGGTAGCCTCTGCGTGATCGTACAGCTCCTTCAGCCAGCGCTCCACCACATCGTACGTTTGATGCTTGGTGATGTCGAAAACCAAGAGGGCGCCCACTGCTCCGCGATAGTATCTGAGACAGATAACGGGGAGGAAAAAGTGAGGAAGAGGAACCGAAGGGTAGTCACAGCAACAAGAAGAGATGCGTGCTCGTCGCCCTGACCTCCTGCCTCTCCCCAGAGCTTCTGACTCTGTTTGGTATCTCTGGGCAACTAACTGCTTCCCAGACCAGGCACCTTAGGGCGAAGTGTCAGCCACAGTGGCTGGCTGGCTCCCTGGCACCTCCTTTTGGGCAAGGAGACGGCTTTCCTCAGAGAGACCAAAGGCTTCAGCTCACAGCATCTCCTCCAGCCTGGATGGCGCTGGTAGTGCTGGGCCAGTGCTGTCAACAGGAAGTGGTTACCAAGGACTTGTGGAACAGCCCTGAGCCTGGCCACTGTTTCTGAGCATCGCTGGTGCCACAAATGCATCACAGAAACTGAGGTAGCTGCCTTGGCTAACCAGACTATTCTCCTTCAATTAAGGCAAAGACGAAGAGAAAAAATACCCTGAAATAGACACGTATTTGCTACTTTTGCTATAATGCTTGGACTGGGTGTGCGCACTATGCTTAACCAAGTACGTGAAAGGCCCAGGGGTTGCATGTGGGTCATGTGTAAAGCTTTGTCAATTTTAACCAGTTTTTGATAGTTTAGCATCAGACAATGTAAACCGGCTGCTTCAGTTTATACTGAACCTAGAAAATGGGTGAGTTCAGTCATCCTGTATGACAGATTCAGCCTCTCCTTCACACCTACAAGAAGTTCCTCTAAACTAAGGACACGTCTAGATATGTCCCGACCCAACCCTACCTGCATCCACATCCAGGCTCATTTTCCTATGACTCAGTATTACACTCAACAGGTTCTGTGGGAATCACCTATAAACACCTGTCCAGGTCATGCAAAGCACTGATAAGTCAATGGAATTTCCCTCCTTGGAAGCTACTCTTGATAGCTTAGACCTACATCCTCTAGTCAGAGTCTGGCCAAGAAAAGTAAAAGTCAGCCTGTTATGCTGGGAAAGGTGGGAGGAAAGAGAGGAGAAGACAAGCATCAGCCAGGGGGGTGGACTCAGTTATGGTGGCAATGAGTGCACCATTGGGAGACTTGAAAGAACAGGTTAGGGATAGATCATCACGGAGAAGATTTATCTATGTGGTCACTAGGAGTCGAAAACTACTTGATAGCACAATCAATCCATAGCACTTTTAATGTTTTGATTATCTTCTTTATTGAATTTTAAGGCAAATTGTCTTGAATCTTTCCAATTTGGTGGCTAAATAAGGCTAACAACAAGAACCACCTCATGTTGGTGGAATTCCAGGGACACCTAGTAAGCGGAACCAAAGCTTAAGATTCTTGATGAATTTGAGTTAGTAAAGTCTACGTGTTGTTTTATATGAAACCACAACGGACATTTCTGCGTTCCCTCGGCTGAATTTTGGAAAAGGGGCTGGTCCTTCTCTCAAAACGCAGTTCTTAGGCCTGGATTCACCTGTGTTTTGGCTGAGATTCAGGAATCTCCAAACTTGGCAGAACTGGAGGTGCAGGCTTACTTCTACATACCCACACACATTATTATTACCTTCTATTCTACAGATTCTTGGTGGCTTAATCATCATACTAGAAAAACATCAACGCAAAACATTCTACAGATCGTGCATGTGCTGCCTCTGATTAAATAGTACCCGCGGCACCCAAGATGAGCCAGCACCTTGAATTGGACCTGGGAGCTAATGGGCAACCAGTGCAGGCGGCTTTTGCAGTATAGAAGCCCCTCTGCTATGCCAGCGTTGAGTTGAAAGGGTAGCTTTCAAGAGTAGTCCCCTCATAGTAGACTGCGGTAGCTGCGAGTTGATAAAGGTAACTTGATAGAACCTCCTGATCCAGAAAAAGGGGTAATGCCATCCCTCCAGAATTAAAGATGGCTGCTGAGTGTAGAACTAGGAAAGGGAGCGCTCCCTCCATCTAAGTCCCACTGCAGTTTCCATCTCATGCCTGACTGGAAGGTCCAGCTAAGCCACTTCATCCAGGACCTTCTGTAATTGTCACCCTACTAGCTTCTTACCCATCTTCCCTAAAATGGGGGGATAGGATGTGAGCTGTTCAAACTGGGTCAAGGGTTGGCCTCTTGAGGAGAAGGCACCAGCAAAGCTGGTGGCATATCCCCTTCTCTCACAGAGGACCTACAACTGCCCAAACCAAATTCCTCATCCTCCCTCTGGCAGCCTGAACCAAGCACGAGAGGCAAGGATCCAGCTGGGAACTCTGTCCACGTTCTCAGATTTCACAGATCCAAACAAATCCCAGATGACTTTGCAAAGCATCACCCCATCATCTCCGTGCATTTTGCCCATCCAGCATCTAATTCTGAGACAATGAGCAAAATAGTTCCAGTGGCCCATGGGAAGTTCTTCTGACCGGTTGCTCCCTTAATGGGGAGTGGGTTGCTGGACAGAAACCTGCAGATGTGATAAGTGTGGAAAAGACTATGCTCTGAGACCTTCGGCCAGCGGAGACCTTCCTAGCTCACAGCCCACTACCCGCCTCGGCCACCCACCCTTTGCCTCTGCTTACGCTGAAGTGATGGCCCGGTAGCGCTCCAGCCCGGCTGTGTCCCAGATCTGGGCTTTCACCAGGGCATCTCCAACCAGAATGGTGCGCGTGGAGAACTCCACCCCAATCGTGGTACGGCTGTCGTGGCTGAACTCGTTGCGGGTGAAGCGCGAGAGCAGATTGGTTTTCCCTACTCCAGATTCTCCAATCAGAACCACTAGGAGAGGCAGGAAGAAGACAGCGGTATGTAAGACGCGAGGCGCGTTTCTCAGTCAACTGCACACACGCTGTATTAAGCCAGTGCTTGCTTTAATCGGGGGGGGGGGGGTTAAACCACAAATGGTTGACTTCACG